TGTAAGTCGAAGTAATTACAATTTGATTCAATTGAAAGAAAGAAATAAGGAAATATTAAATTATACTAATCGAGAGATCTGTGATTACCTTCTGTGCTTGTAGAGAATTCAATTCTCTTTCCAATGGACTACTTCCGACACTTTCTAATTGATCACATCACTTTTATTTGATTGAAACTTCCCTGGTTAAACTTTTACTGCTCCATAAATGAGCCAATTCTTGTAGCCAGTTTTTGTCTGAACGTGGAAAATTTATTTCTCTTCCCAATGACAGCTCATGTACACATTCAGGTCAGGTGTAGCCTTGAAATACATTAAATTCCTGTGCCTCATCAATGAATTAATTCGCCCTATTGGATCTCTTTTTCTCTGTGCTCTACCTGATCGCGTCGCTTCAAAAGTGCAATTTGGCTTCTGTTACCAACCCCATACATATATACAGATCATGACGGCGCATTGATTATATCATTATACGGTATCATAAACGACTTCAACTTATTAGTGGCGATTCTGTTTAGCAAGTTCAGGATTAAACTGCGAACTGTACTTAGCTGTATAACTCTGTTTGTGGTTACTGTTATTATCTTTTGGATTCAACAAATCAAACGCCTTTCTCCTTTCCATTTCTTCACGTTTCAGTCTCTCCAGTCGCAATGCTTCCAGATGATCACTGCTATTACTAAATGATTTAACTGAAGTACTGTATGTCGTCTCTTGTACTTCATCAGAATCTGCACTTCGACATCGCTTCCTATTTCGGCTATTTTTGCCTTCTTTTGATGAAGACTGTCGATGTTTCTTCTTATGTTTTTTCCTTTTCCTCTCTTTCTTGGATTCTGTTTCAGTTGGTTTAGTTGGTTTTCCAAGATCCATCACTCCACTCGGAATTTTCCTCGATCTACTTGAAGTTGCTTCTTCCGACACATCAATGGATCGCTTTGAAGGGAGTTGTTCATACCAACATTTCTGCTGCAATTTAAATTTCCAGTTCCACACATAACTGATAAACTGCGATTTCTTTGATGATAATAGTCTAAATCTGTTGATGAAGCATTTTTTGCAAAGTTTTGCGCTGGTGTATTATTCATTCATTTTGAAATTTTACGCTTTCATCAATGTGCATACAACAAATAGTGAACAACTGAGCTTTGCTATCGAACGAGCAAGAAAACCAACCTTCGCAAATTCATTCGATCCTTCGCCAAGATATTTGAGAATACCAACTTTAGACTCGTATTCCTCTTGTTCTTTTCGTTTCTCTATCTCATACTCCTTATTAGTCGTTCCTAAATTCTTACGATCCTCTTCTTCGAGTTCAGCGAAAAGATTCACATGTCCTGAAGGACCTTCTAATTGAATGCTTTCTTTATTTCGAGTCTCATTTTGTTTCCCTTCATATAAATGGAACATTCGTTCATCAGCATTCTTTCGCAGGAGATGTACCTTCAAAATCGTATCATAATTATCACATTTGCAATATTATTATGATTCATCAAGGCCTTGATCAAACCTCGATTAAATTCCATATCACATAACAACACAGCAAACAAAGTTAAAGCTTCAAACCAAAAAATTCGAATCAATTTACTTTGAACTGTTGTTCAGCAATTTGCGCACGCTCACTTATACGTTTCTCCTCCTCAGCAGCCAATTTCTGATCTTTTCTCACACGAGCGACATTTTCTTTAGTTCGAACGTGCCACTTCTTTTTAGGTAGAATATTCATTTCTCACCTAAAACAATACAACAATAACAATAATGGATAAACTGATAAACTCGTACAAGTGAACATACGGATGTATTTTAACCTTAATTCCTTGAACTAGATCCGGTTTTTTTCTAGTTTCCTTCTTAGGGTTACGTTCAGGGTCAGGCTTACAAGGAGCCAAAATATACCTCCATCTGCTTGTATAAGTTATCACAACGGTGATACGTTGCTGAGCAATAAATGTTTCATGCAACAACATAGCGTTGCACCATGTAACGTATTATTGTCGCTCGTTGCAAACAACACCAACTTTTCCTTCAGTTACACAAAACCGACAAAAATTCTTGGCTAAAAAAATAAGTATGAAACCGAATAGTAACACAGTGAAAAGGCAAGAAAAGTGCATTAATCTTTAAACTTTATTGCAACACAAAAAACAAACATCAAAGTAGTTCACCACAAATGTGAATGTGATCATATAAACACAGCTTTGCATCGATTTTCGCACAATAACAATTCGACGATTTTTGCTGATATGCATCAACGGTGAAGAATTTACGACTTCATATGTAGGACGCGAGAACGGCCGAAATGAAGTGAAAAATAATACGCTGACAATAAGGCACTGCATGAATTACAAAAATAATCTTGAGAAAAACTTCAAATCAAAGTGTTGTATACATTCAACGGTCGGGTGAATAATCAATCAGTTGTTCTGGATAATCGTGAACAAGAAGCATACTACATTTTGAGTTCTTTTTCCAAAAGTATTGATCCTAATCATTCTTACAGTTAGTCTACATGGAATATTTTATGAAGTAGTATCATTTCACTGAAGACTCATCCTTAGTTCTTAATCACTCATTTAACCTTTCACCGTACCATTCATTTTTTTCCATTCTTTTCATTCTCAGAGCAGTATCTCAGTGAAGATAATTTTATCAAGGATGTAGAAAAGGTAATTTCAGAAAAAAACGAAACTCACAGCCTCACTGATTCAAAAAAATTCGATGTAATCTAAACAAAATCATGAAGGACAAATGAGTAGAAAATTGAAATAATAAAATAAAGCATCACTGAATGAAAGCATATTGATAAGACAGAGAACAGATATAGTAGTTCATAGATAGGAAAATGATCAGCGAAAAGAATAGAACGAAGACGATGAACAATGTCAACGATTCACATCTACCAAAACAATTTCTAGTGAATGAGAAATTTTGTACAAATTGAAAATATCGGTAATTTCAGAATAACTTTAAATTGAGATTATCACTAATTTTCCCGTCATTACGTTGACTGCATATACTCACGCCGTCAATCAACAGCATCACACGCGAAAGAACAACTCGCAACTAAATCATAATAATTTCATAAATTTTGAAATGAAGAAACAATGAAAATTCAAATATTTTACTGAATCCGTGATGAGCAACCTATAATTGTCAATAACTATCCACTTAGGTTTATCGGCACTTTCCTTTAAACAGCAATCGTCAGATGGACGAAGCGTGAGATTTGAAGAGCACGTTATCTGCGGATAAACGATTTCGGAATGAACTTTGTGAGCAATTCGAGAATTGGCGATAATATCGATACACTGAGTCTTACAATTAGATAAATAAAAATTGCCGCTCGTCACATCATTAAAATGACTTAGCTATTTCAACATTATTCAATATACATACAGGAACACAAACTGAGACAACTAAAGGGAGGATTTATCAATACAACTTCGATCGTTCAAAATATCAAACACGAAAAATATTCGTATATACCAGCAAAGCACAAAATAACAATTTGTCGAGAAGGTGAAAATCCTTTCGTCAATTTACGACTGATGCGGTTTTATAACTGAATTATCAAAGTGCACAGAACTCGTCATTCAAAAAATGAATGGTTAATCGACTGAAGTCACATCTTCCAGATGTTGTTATAGCAACGAAGCACAATGATCAAGCAACGAAATAATCAAATACCTTCGAACATTAACTGGTTATAAGTGTTTATCTCATCATCATTAATACACTGATACAACTCTCCATTGGTCATACATTCAACTCTTCCGAATTAGATCTATCACCGATCAATATCACAATGTATAGAATGTTTGCTCTGGTGAATAACACAAAAACAAGAACAAACAATCAAAATTTTTAGTCATACGTGAAAGTTCAAAGCATGCACGTGCCGTGGGCAGTTATTCAGGGTAGACGGTCGTCAATCAGTGCGCCATCAAAAGCTTGATCAGTACGAAATGAAATAAATAATAGAAACTGCTAAATGAAAGCGAACTACGGGCTACAACCAAGGTACTCCAGAAGCAAATGTAACAGCTGATTTATTCTGTGCAGAGTTGGAAATGCCAACTCTTTGTTCATAATTGGTCAAACATCAACCCAGCATACAGTCATCGATAACGCTATTCAACATATCCAAATTAAGCACAAAAAATACATCCACTAGCGTTTCCGTTCGCAATTCTGCAGATGAAATTTTCTTGAACAGATAAATTTAATGCAAAAAAAATGTTCACTCCTAAGTGAACCGTGTCATTATTGAGCACGTTGTATCATCAAATTCATTTTCGTCGAGTACTCGTTCGACATTAGAATATGACAACTGTGCACTAATGATGAGGACAAGAAAACGGTTGGACTGATAAACTATGATTTTAATGAGGGCACGTAAATTTGAGAGATGGATGCTGAAATGGGGAGTTGTATGAGTTGTTGACGAGACTGATTGAAGACCTTCTCGCGATGATGCAAAGGTCTAGCGAAATCTTGTTGCGCGATACGATAAGCACGTGACGCATTCAGTACCGTATCACGAACAAGATGTGGTAGTTGACTAATATGTACATGAGCACCATCGAAAAGTGGTCCAAATTCGAGTGGACGTTGCGTTTCAATTCGAACTCGAACAAGTAATGCCGACATTTGGTACAGCACCAACAAAACATCGCAAAAACGTGTTGCAATTGTATCACGTCTATACGCACGATCGTGTTCACTCCACACCACATGCACTTCATCGTTACCCAAATGTTTCAACTTTTGTGTTACATCACCTCAAAGACAATCATATTCAACCGGTACTAATAGTGAGTGGTATATCAGGAATACAAATTATTCTTTCAAACAAAAACTGCAAAATATAAGAAATTACAGTAGAAATCCGTGTTTTTTGTTGTTGGATATCTAAATGATATATATGGAACATACCATTTAGCATTGTGCTGACGTGGAAAATAACTTCAGTATTGCCGGATGCAAAGTATGGAGCGATCGTTTCACCAGAGAGACCGCCAGTGTATCCTTGATGCCTCCTTCCTATTTGCACCATCCATCCCAGTCCTGAGACGAACTTTTCGAATGCTTCTGAACCGGCATCATTCGCCAGGATTGTATTTTTATCCTTAAATTAAGCTGACCCATAGTAGTATGCTTTCTTTCGTCCCCGTTTGAGTATCAATTCAGAAACTAATAACAGATCTAGTATATGATATGATACCTCTTGTCCTTTGGCAACATAGATTACAGCAACTTTATGCACTTCACGTGAGAGCGTCTGATCAAGATGCCGCAAATCACGAGCGTAATTCTGTGGTACTTGTCTGACTGCGCTAACTAATCGGAAATCCGAAACGACTGAGCGCCAAAGAGATAAATTATCATCAACAAGCGTTTTCTGTGAAGAAGTCGCTTGTGGTTGATGCTGATAAAGTTCGTCAATTATCGATCGTTGTATACTCGTGCTGCCACCAGCTCCACATAAATCAACAAGAACTCGTCGATTTTGTTGAATAAACGAATACATATCACTGCATTCAATTGGTTCCGTTTCTAACGCTCCCGGCAATTGCGGCAATCCCTGACAATAGCATTTTCGCTCAACTTCTTCCATTCAATTTGGTGGTCCATTATTCATCGATACTCACAAACAATTATCAGTTTAATATCAAGCGGTAAAATTTCATCCGATATAACTGTTCAGCAACAGTACAATCGCAGCTTCACTAAAATTCCACTTTGTGTTGCAGATTGTAATGAATTACAAATATAACGGTCAATCATAATAATTGCATACACCAACACACCATGAACGGATCGCTAGTAGGAGTGCGTAGAACAGATTCTTTGCGTACAGCAACATTCCGAGGTCTTGTTGCCAGTTTTCTGAGCCATTTGTTAACACTACTTGAACGATGCGATGTTTCTCGCAAATCGTTGAATTTCCAGCAATGCTTTCCAACTGCAGTGCGACACGTTAACCTCAGTGTGTCTTCATTATCCATACTACAATTGATGCATTCATTTAGCCATTTCTAACGAACAAAGAACTGACTTCAGCTCATTGAAAATACACTTTCAATGAACCAAATATCTCAACAATAGTGCTAACTGAAGTGCAACAAAACAACTGAATAAACGAATGGATGAATGAAAGGCAATAACCTGAGAATAGCAGCTTTGTGATCAATAAAAATACGTCCACTTGTTAATTGTTCACCATTTGTATGATTCTTTGAGCAATATTCAATGGAATTGGATTGTGAGAGCGAGAATGATGTCAGTGGAAATTGATGCGCATAAGTCAATAACATACCCTCGAGGCATTTACGTTTATCATTTATCACACGCTCCAATAATGCACGTCGAATATGCTTCTCATTTAAACTTAATGATACACCTTGCCACACCAACTCACCTGCCCAGCATTCTTCATTCACCTAATAAAAAATAGCATAACATTAGTAAATGATATAATTAAAAACTGCGCAAACATCAACGACGAGGTGTTCCATTTATTTTGTAGCCAAAATGTGTATAAACAGATTAAGAAATCAAAAAATAAACTAACAATTTCAAGTGTTCGTTCAAGTAATTCGATGAGTTTGTCGGTGCGTGAAAGTCGAACTAGTTGATGAAGATCCGAACAAAACAGATGTAAAAGACGACTAGCACCTCTCAGTTGACGGACTCTCGACAGTACATCGAGCATTAACGTTGTATCGGCACGTTCAATCACTAATAATGCTAATGCATTCAATGCTAATGCATGTGATTGAAGCGATATTTCAGAGGAATTCAACGATACCAAATTCAATAACAACGTCTCGGCTGCACTATGATCTGGTGCTAACAATGCAGCAACCTGGAACTCTTTCATTCACTTTATATCCTTCGAGACAATATAATGATTTCTGATGTAACTCCAGGCAAACTTTCACCTGGTCAAATTTAAGATAAATTTGCAGTCACAATAGTACTACCTGAATACTTCTCGCTGAATAATTCAACTGTTTGATGAGTTGACTCAATGCACCAAGTGTAGGTTTTGCAAGCGCAGCAAGGTGTTCGTGTGACATTGATGGCATATTCTCAAGAACAGCATCACACTGCTCGCATGTGGTCAACGCTCTTGTTAGAGCAACTATTATATGAGCCTAAAGAAAGCAAAAATGAATGATTAAATGAAGCGTATAACAATTGAAATTAAAATGATATAGCGTTACTGTACTGGGTTAATTAAATGTGAATGACCTGAATTAAGGGTGGGGGATTGGAGGAGGAGAGCACAGCACAGAATGCAGGCACACAAGATGCTTGTGCTTGCTGTGGGAGTAATAGTAATCTTGCACAAATCCAATGAACCAATGAATCTGTTCCACTAACACGTAATAACGTTGCTATTGTTCGTGAAATTGTCTGCAAACAGATAGTGCTTCAAATTATCACATTAACATCAATTGAGTGCCACTTTGAATTTACAGATATACATCTCAAATCAAGTCAATTATTTAACCATATTATTTTTGTCTGTTTATATATGAATGCATCACTGGAATGAGAATCGTTCTTTGCAGAAATCTTTGATCAAATTCACTGATAACGATCAGTCATCCTAAACAACTGCGCTTGCTGTTTTGAAAGCAAACAACTGAAACGTCACAATGGTGCAAACACGATCTGATGAGATGTCTGAAGAAGATGAATCAATTGTAACTAAATCAAACGAAGCTGATTAAGTCAAGTTACCTGAATGGACAATTCAGAGTGTGCTGCATGCAAAGGTGATACCAAATTTACAATTCGCATCCATACTCGAAGCCAAACGGTTGAATCTCCCGCTGACTAAATCAATCATTATTATGATCAAACGTTCAGATCAAAGATAAACAGTGAAACCGTTCGATGCTTTTACTAAGAGCACCCTCATCAGTAGTTGAAAATCTATATCCAATTAGTCCTCATTCAAGTTTAGCTCATCATTATATCGCATAAATTAAAATGGATGCACATGATCGCTTTATTCCATTCGCACCAAAATAAGCTATGTTTAAAGACAACTGAATACTTCGCTATGACAAATCGTATTTATGAACAAGAACGTAGGCGCAATTGACCGGTTCTATCGCAGTAAGCATCGTATTTCAGAAGTCGATGGAATGAATCATCTTAATTGAATGATTGAAACAATGATATTGCTGATTAAAAAAGAATGAATGAAGCAGGAAAGAAATTATTCCACTTTAAATCGTCGAAAACAATTTCTGAAGAAACAAATGGATTGAGCAAAACGCAAGCAAAATTCAAATGGATATGATGTGAACATCAGAAAGAACTGTATTCTAGAATTAAAAATGAGATACACTGAACAGTTTTGTGTTTTGTTAGCTGTAAATAAATACAATATTATAGAAACGACCGAAAATTCATATGCATCGATTAATATTTGATTACACAGCTGCAGATGCGATGTGCTGTCCGTATGTTAGACATGCCTAAACTATTACCTTCTAATGTAATCATGCTCTGCGAGAGTCACAAATTGGTACATAGATGCATATAGCAATCATTTCAACAAAAATTTACCACAAATAGTACTCGATAATAATAGTGACGGTGATGACAATAATAGAAAATTACGACCAAGAATATTGATAATAAGGCAAAAGAGCATACCTGCACAACAGAATTGATCTGTGCGTTTTCGTCATCAACAGATGTTTCAGTTTCAGAACGACTATCTTCAGAAGCGATATCGATTGAAAGATCATCGGCATCATTACGATTCATCATTGATTCTTCATTACGATCTCGCCTGATCGCCGACTGTGATGACTGTACAAATGACACGCATTACCTACTCGCATAAACATATCACAAGAAACAGTTCATTTAATTGTTCGCTCTCTTTAATTCATCATTCATTCTCCATTGCCAACCTCAATCTTTACCCATTTTCTTATTACCAGTTTCATCTCATATCAAAGATTTGAACTGTTCAACGAAATAATCTTTTTCTTCACTCACAAGCAATCCTGAAACTGTCTACTGAATTTATGTTGCAATATGTAGCTGATCGAGACAATAGCTGTGTACGCTATCACGATTTTTAGTATTGTTACTATCATCATCAGTTTCATTCTAGTAGCATTAGCAATATCACTGATATGCAATAGTTTGGTAAGGAATATTTTATAGAAGAAAAGGCCCCAACATAACAGCATCCTACTAAACATAAAAACATCTTCCCGTTAACCGATAAAAATCAAAAACATGTTGTTAACTTTGAAAAGAAATCACAAAAACTAACACTATGCAGTTAGGTATCACTGAAAAGTAATTTATAACTGATAAACAAATACCGATTGTAAGCTATTAACAGGTGAAATATCAACTTCAAAAACATTCAGAATAAGCGCTCGAGTAACAGTATCAACGACACGACTCCATTGTTCAATCATTTGAACCCAACATCCTGATTGGAATACTAATAACACATCATCCCAAATACGCTCTTCTATTTCGATACCTTAACAACTTTCACTGCAATTTCTTACATTTACGTTCAACAAAACACTTCCAAAGTAAACGAGAGAATATTCATGAATGACAAAAAACGACGAATGATTTGAAGAGACAGATAAAATGTTACAAGGCTTAGTTCAGTAAAGATACTACACCAACCGCGTATGGCTCTCACAAAAACGATAACAACAAGAAGATTCTGCACAAGCACTCCCGATGTGGCCCGACCGTACGCATCTGATCTAAACACGAAGAAAAGAAAACAAATTGGTTCTGTTCATAGCATTTCAAAACGCAAATGCTAGAAGCATGAGATGAAGCGATGGAATTAAATAATCACTCAAGTAATAATTAACATCAACAACAATAACAATAGCAATAATAATAAATATATGAATAATGAAAACAATAATAAACGGGTCACAGCAACTAACCGACAAGTGACAACTCGAATCCCATCAGCAAGACTCTTGATTAATTCACACCAGAAGCGTGCAGATAATGGATAAGATAATGTTGTCACCGGATTGGACAGATCCCTAGCCGTTTGAAGTAAACTTTGTGTAAGATCAATAGCAGATTTGAGTCGATCACCACAAGCAATTAGATATGGACTATGAAAAAACGATGTCAGAAAATGAATGAGTAGTAATGAAAGTGACTCTTGCGAAACACTCGAGTTAGAAACGAACGCAGCTATTTCACGTTGTAAAAGCCATGAACGCATCAATTCAAACACCTGAAAATAAACTTCATCATTTTTGCAATTGGACATATCAATGATCAATCACTGCATATCAACTCATAAATTATTATTCACTAAAATCACTTTTGCGGACTTCAACAATAGATACTCAGTAATCTTACTGCAGGGGGAATTGCGAACAACGAGTGAAGAGTACAATGGGGCTGATTTGTTAACTATAAAATGAAAGCGGTGAAAAAGCAAAATTCGATAGGTTATAAACAAATTTGGATATGCATTCTGCTCACCTCAGAAAAAAAACAGTTAACAAAGAAAACGATTAATTTGAAAATTGTTGTATGAAATGAAAGATGATTAAACAATACTTTAAGAATAACGCTCCAACAGGGTAATGGCAATGAGACAGCCTCCTTCATTAGAGTAAGAAGTGTGTTTGTTGCTTTTCGACTTGAAAATAACGCTTGCTTGTAGAGTGCTTGACCAGTTGAAGGTGATTCATTTGGACTACTGGACGCGATCACTGTCATCCACCTGAAGTAATTCCCACTTTTTCATTCGAATATTCCATTGGTTCGAAACAATATGAATTAAAAACTTCAAACAACTTATCAATATGTAAACGATGAAGCAAGTGGTAACAATAAATCTGACCTGATGAGCCAATATCGTGCGATAATAATCGGATCGGCAGTATCCCGCATACCCGTATGCTCCTCAGTACCTTCCCAACCGCCATAAATATCCACCCCATTTGATTCAATATCAGGGAATGTCTCATAAATGTACAGCACAATAACTCGGTCGACGATGAATTTCGCACAATCAAGGCGTTTACTTTCATCACTCCATTCCAATCGAACAGTTTCTCGAGTGCAATATTCCAAGAATTTATCCAAATACATCTTAAATGGATATATTGCTATCAGAAGAATGAAGCAATGATTAATCGCAAATAGAATAGATGAAGGATAATAAAATAAAAGATGAGTTTCGAAATTAATAACTTGAAGTAGCTGTGCTTTATCTTTCACTGTTGGCATCGTATTATTCGGATTATTTATTAAAGGCGAACTACGTATTGGACCAGGACCATTCACCCCACCAACTGCTTCACAATAATTTTGTAATATTGTTTCAGTGGATGAACCATTCCTGCGAATAATTCATCTAACTATTAACAACATTATTCCAGCTTCAGTTGAAATCATACACATGAATTCCGATAGTTTTTGTGGTTCACTGCTCGAAGAAAAATCATTTACTACAACCATGGAAAATAAGGAACTAAAGGTGACGAGCCATCAATATCGATTCAATTGAAATGTCGACATACAAATATAAACGTTTTTTATTCCAAAGTAACGGCTGAAATGTTACCTGAGAGGGAAATGTGGCAAGAGAGATTGGAAAACAGAATCAAGCTGAGGGCCAGTGTTATTATACAAAGCCAAACTTTGATACCACAATAAAAATAAACGTATGGCAATCTTGCGAACAGCAAGCAAATTATGTGGAAAGAGTGCTTTCTTCAAGACAAATTCAATTGCATGTTTTTGCCAGCCTGAAATTCCATGAGACAATTGTTGAACTTGACTGACATGAAGATTAGAATATCACCTTCGTCTTTACAAAACATCAACGAAGATTTTCAATGATAATAATACTGATCAAAATAACAATATAAGTTAATGATTCTTTGAACAACATGTTTGAATCCATAAGGGTGACCACTAACCGCTGCCAACAAGTTCAGGTGCAAGACACAACAGCTGCTCTAAAATCCATAAAGCAGATTGAGCTTCTAATACGGCTTGACCAGCTTGCGTGAGATCACCTTGTAGAAGCAATTCATCAACAAGATGAAACGTTTCAAAACTATAATCATCAATGAACTGTCGCTTTTCCTTAAAATAAACACTCATTGAAGTTTTTCGAGGGTCAAAAAATAATCATAAATGAACAGAGTACTTTACAGTTATCTATACAGACTGACATTTTCCGTGATCACAGACGTAATTAGGTTGAAAACGTTGCTTTTCGACTGGAAAAATTCAATGGATGCTTCGACGACGATACTGATCGTGGTAATATTACTAATAACAATGAACCAATAATAACAACGTCATTGATAACAATAAGCACCTGAACACAAAGTGCATCCAATGCCAATTTAAGATGTTTTGCTCTCGATGCACAGTCACGATGCAAGTCAGCAAATCGCTGCAATGATGTTGTCACATCTGCTGATTTCGCCTTCCGTGCAAACATCTCAAATGAATATCAAGTTATCAATGGTAAATAAAAAATGGCAGTATTATTATAATTATCGCAGCATCAAAAACTAACGATAAACGAGACTGAATATTGAAATCATCAACAAACGAGAACTGTGCTCAAAAATCGCTGAAACAAAGTAAAATAAATATAGATCATCCATAAAATCAATAATAGACAATAACCAATCAACAATTTGTTAAAAAGAATATCTAGAACAACTACTGACAATGAGTCTCCTCACAACTTCCTTCTCGTTTAGAACTCTATTTCCTATCTATCCAGAGCACTTTTATTTGATCTTAATCCAAGCGTTGACGTTTCAAGACTGAATAGGCATTCTTTTTTGAAAGGACTAAGGCGCTGCCAAATATACATCTCTGTCGTAGAAACACTCGAAATGATGGTATAAATACATATGAAACATTCTGAAATTAATACGAATTAGAACAAATCAAACAAAAATGACATGCTATCAGATTTCATTAAAAATTATGCTGAATGAATATACACCCGTGCATTCATTCAGATTGAAATCGATCGACAAATGACGGCATTTACGAGTCGTTTGTAGGATATCATCAAAGGCAACCTCAGGTGGTTCACTATTCAAACCAACTTTCAAACCTGCTACCCCACAGGAATAACTCACACATATAAACAACTGAAGTTAAATTGAGATGAGAACTCACTGAAAAGCTTAACGCGGATAAGCTAGACTTATTGAGTTATTGTGGCACAGTGTTAATGCATTCAATGGTGCGTACGCACTTCGCCATATGCGCGTGTCGGCGGAAGGAGGGCGGAGTCACGACCGCGTCACGCGAGGTGAAATAAGCAGGCTTTGTCGAGTAATACGCGTTTTATCGAGTAATACGCGTTTTATAACTGAAGCACACAACGGTGAACATGCTTACGCATTGCTCAAAAGTCGAACCCAAACGAAGTTTCCTGACCGACTATACGCTTCAAAATGACGTAGTACGGATTGGTCGCGGACGGATTTGTCGTAGATCCGTATAACCGAATGAAAACATGCGTTCGATCGAATTTAAACGAAGTTGTGGATTTGTAATTGAGTTGATAATTTACGCAGTATTTTTGACCGATGTTTTGTTTCTCGTTTCAGTAGATGGGCTTATGCCTTTGTAAGAGGAAGCGTACGAATAGCGGCAGTTCCACGATTAGTGTTCACGCTTCTTCATTGAGACCAATACCTGGGGGTGTGCGGCAGAGATCTTCGAACGACTGCGAGTCTATTCATTCTCAGTTATCATCGCCATTTTCTTATGGTTAATTATTTGCGATTTTATTGAATGTTTAGTAACGTCAGTCGCATTTTTTATTCTGTCACTTATAAGGTGATAAAAACCAGAAGGAAGTAAGGGAGCAAAAACTTGAGGAGAAAGTTATCGGGCTCTAAGTTTTAGGTGATGATCGATCAGCAATGAGTTTAGCGATCGTTGTCAAAGAACTCATTCAGCAAATACTGCAGTTGATCAGAACCCTCGTGAGCAAGTAAGTTCTTATCGTTAATTCTGTTGCCTAGTGTTCTCTCATCAGATCGGTTGCCACTCGGCAGTTAGTTTGATGTTCTGTTGAAGAGCATTTCCTCATCACGATTTATAATGCAGATAAAAAGAAGGGGAAATTTTTTTTCTGGTATTTATTGTACTCTAATAATGCCGCATTTGAAAGTTATGGTCAACCGATATCGTTCGTTATAAAATCCATAGTGATGATGCAGCCATCGTCAGCCATGATCTCTTTTTGAATGTTAATTTTCATAAACGTCAGTGAACAAGAACCACCAATGCCGTTGTTAAAGTTGAATCTTATTGCCGATAAAGAAGGTGGTTGGGTATTAGTGGTTATCTGTCTCATCGAAGCAGTACCAGGCGAAGATGCTCTTGGACCGGCTGTTATAACTCTATTTCTTGATGAAGGTCCTTTACCTACAAAAGTTAGTTTATCTTATTCTCATTGGACTCACTCATTTAAGCAGCATAACTGATCATCCATTAACTGTTCAAGTATTACCATTGAAAATTCGTTTTCTGTCTGATTGATGATATGTCACATCCAGAAATCTCTGCTTCTTCTCGTTGTGTTAAAATGAATCAGTGATTCTGTTGATCATTGTAGGAAACAGTAACACGTTTAGTATCTCGTCTGCGATTGGACGAGGCTGGTAACTTGCAACTTTCACCAGTGCTACATCGAAATATTTGTATCGTGTTGGGATGTCTTGCTGAAAAATTGGCTGGTGCAAGCAGTGTACATATATGCACAAATACTGCTCTTAATTACATTTTCGATAATCTTGTTCGTTCCTTTCGTTCATTACTTTCATCAGATATTGTTCAGAGTTTGTTTCGTTTCGCTTCTGTTGAAATTCACAGTTCTATGTCATGCTGCAAACAGCTTTCAGAGTCAAAATTATATCGGCTACGTAAGTCAATATAGTTTTGAGTTGTGAGTTGTTAAATAAGTCAATATACATGTTGTACATTGGCTTATTTAGCAACAAGTTACGATAGTACCTTATCGTTATCATTGCGTATTTGAACTAAATAGGAATACGTTATGCCTTTCTTTCTAAAGTTTTTAAAATGAATCCATTCATCCATATATCCATCGATATGTCTTAACCGAACCACTCTAATTAAACTTGAATGTAAAGAATACGAATTAAAATTGAATATAATAGATGGTTTTAGGTGTTCTGTTCTCGGTCATTCTACTGAAATGATTCATTCTGCACAAAAAGTAAATGATTTGAGAAAAATTCAAAGACTTATTCATAATTTAGTGTTCTCTAGAAACCAGATCGTGATACGGAAGTTATTATGTATGCACTGATTGCACTTGAAAAGTTTGCACAAACAAGTGAAAATCGATTGACTATATGTCGACGATTGGAAAAATACAACGAAAATCCTCTTATGGTGAGACCTATTCACGTGATTTGGTTCCATGAAATGTGTTATCATTCATATTCTTTTTTTCTATTTCACCAAAATGTGAAAGCAATGTTATGCGTTATAAATAACGTTCTTTTCTAAATTCAGCAAGCAGTTTCGAAGTTTATTCTCATCTTTTTTTTGAAATCACATTAATTTGGTAGGTACTCGAAAGGTGGCTTGATCATTCAGAATCAAAAAATGATTTCTTAAAGCAGCAGGTTGCGTTCTGTGCTCAGTGGTCACTCGATAACATATGTGAGTAACGAATGATTATTCATCTTTATTAAATAGCAGTTTCGTCTTTTTCATCAGGTAACAGGCGTGCAGTGGCATGTTGTGTCGCAATAAGTGAGTAAAAAAATGTCTAAAATTTCGAGTGTCCATATTGTCTGATTTTGCGAAGTTACAGCCATGGGGCGTATGAAAGCAAATGTTTCAGCAAACATATGGCGTCATTAAGAAGACAATGGAAACATTTTTGAAGAAGCGAAAGTTCATGAATGAGATTTTATGCGGATGTATTGTGAATGTCCGATATACATTCATTGTAATTTAATAATAATACATGATGTGAATGATTGTACATTCATTTAATAATAATACATTTAATTATATGGTATTTCAGTTGTGCATGAGAAACGTGAATTTTCCTATCTGAAATGTGACGTATCTAACATCGGTGCTATGTTGAATCACGAAGATGTTAGCGAATATCTCAAAATTGCTTCAAATGGACTTGAGGTACATTTCGAATTTTGTGTCTATCGTTTCTTCAATCGAAAATGATAATTTTGTTCCTTTCCAAATTGCATTTCATTAATATGAAAAACAATTCGCGAGTGTCGATCATCGTTGCGCCGTTAATAAACGATGCTTGTGATTGATTTCGTGGCAGCAACTCCGTTTCATTGATTCTATTGTTGCTTCAACAGATCAACACTTATGTTAAGGCTCGATGTGATGTGTCATCATTTGAATCAGTGCGATGCACATTTGAAGCGATAGAAGGGATATGGTTCTATGAGGCATTAATCCTTACACCAGGTGTTATGCAAATTGGTTTCGCAACCAAGCAAAGTCGCTTTTCAAATCATGTTAGTGTCCATTCTTGTTGATCATCAAATAACATTTGCATTCATTGATGCATTGCTGCACTTCATCATTGGTCTCATTATCATGTCATCCGCGTTCGGTGTCGAACTTGAGTTGTTGATCGCAAATAGTACCGTTCTAGATGAAGGCTGTTCAGAAATGAATAGCTCCAGAAATGGTTTAGAATAGTTCAAGAAGTATTTGCAACTAGCCACAAGAAATTACATGTAAAATAGTTGACCGATGAGAATGCTGTAATGTGATAAGAAATGACATTCAATTTTAGGAAGGATTTGGTATTGGAGATGATGATTGCTCAATAGCGTACGATGGTTGTCGACAATTGATATGGTATAACGCACAGTGCCAAAAGCATGAACATGATCCTTGGAAAGCTGGTATGCTTTTGAGTTATATTCAGTGATACTAGTTCTCTATTGACCATTCTAATGGAATATTCCACGAGTGTTTTCTAAAACTGCTGCACTCAAACAGATTAAAAAATCTGTGTCAACGTGTTTTTTCATCATGGGTTGTAATTTTCAATTTTGGTGTATCATCCTCAGTGATTAAATCCGACAAGAAGTTTGTAGTATATTGAAATATGATCTCTACATTAAAAGGAAGTCATATTTTCCATCTGTTTCTGGAGGATGAGCATCATGCGGGGATTGGAGAGAACGTTGTATACAAAATAAGATGCAATCAAAAATTAAAGGTGATTATCTGGGTTGCCTTCTGAACATTTCTGATGGCTATGTGCAGTTTTACCTGAATGGACGTGGTTTAGAAGTACCAAATCGTGATTTTATACGAGCACAATTGTCAAATAAGGAAACGATTGGATTCTTTGCGGCTGCATCATTTATGAGTTTTCAGCAGTGTCGGTTTAATTTTGGAAATGAGCCGTTCAAGTGAGAAGTTGTCTTCTGATGAATGTATAACATAATGTTTCTTTGTTTGTTCTTTATTTGTCGTTAAAGTTCATTTGCAATCTTCATCTGACCAAATTTTTGTTAACTGTATTTTTTGTGAGTCTCTTACGGTGTTCATATATCACCAACTAAATCAATACAAGAACATGTTTAGATATCCACCGCCGTCTGTGAATTTCAAGACATTCAACGAATACGGTAGTCTGTCTGAGGAGCAAAAAACCATTCTTCCAAGGTCAACCGATTCGAGTTTAATGCAAATTTTTTAAAAATTAATCGTTTATCCTGTATTGTTATTGTAGCTATTTATCTACGTTGACATTAAATCCGAATAGCAATAGTGAGTGATTTTATAGGCGTCGAAAAATGGAATTATTATCGCAAGTTTCAATACCGGATGATTCGTGTCACATATGCTATGGACATGCGGTTGATACAATACTTGAACCTTGCGGACATAGGTTTGTGAATGGTTTAGTTGCGTTTGAAAAGATTACTTTCAGTTATTTGTTATTAAGATGCAATTGTTTTTGTCGTGTTGCTTAAAATTGTTTCAGACCAATAGCATGCAATACATATTTGTTTGTAATTTTTTATTAATTATTTCAGTGGAATATGTTTAGTGTGTTCTCAACAACTAGAACTATGTCCACTATGTCGTGTACCAATCATACAACGCAGTCCAATTCCAAAACGCATCTCAATAAGCGAACGTAAATCAACTTTTATAAATAAACGATTGGGCACATTAGTGTGATCCGTCTAGGTCTAATTTGCCCGTTCGCAATTTTGTAGCACTATTGCTCATCCCTTGATGGTTCGTTTGTTAGTTTACTTTTCAAAAATTGAATCGATTTTCGGAGAGGAATTATTATCAAAACATTGCTAATACAATCGATTAACTGTATATTCTTTATAGGTGTGATCGAATTATTAATTTGAGGGTTGTTGTTTGCATGAAACTATATCCAATAATCTCATTTCTTCTTCGTTTATCCTTCCATCTAGCTGTCTGAATTGGGATGCGATATTGTTAAACGCTATAAAAATTCGTCGACTCCGCTTTGGTCAGAGACAGCCGTTATATACTGTGCTAGCCACAGTTATATGAAGGATGAGGAAAAAAAAAACCTACAGTTTCTGTCTCTTGGTGAATCAAACTGTCATAAGGCCGAATTGGAGACTTCATGATGATATTTGGGTAGGCAATGTTATCATCATTCAAATGTGATTGTTCAGTGCTGTCAATCTGGAGCGGAATCTTCATCCACGAATGAAACCATCGCAGTGCCGATTCATTTTTATTTTTTATTTCACTTCCAAAAGCTCTAGTCGGACCCAGCAATTAAGTGTAATTAAAATTTTGAATGAAGTTTGGAAAGTTCAAATGTGTTAAGTGAGTCCTTAATGTGATTCTGTTCGGGGCACTTAGTGTCCTCTATACTCCCTTTTTTCTATGGTTAACAAGTTTTTAGTCGTTCATTATTATCACTTTTAATATGCATGAAGTTCTCTCTGTCAGTTATTTTCGTTGTACAGTATTAAGCTTACTTAATGTTGGAATTAACTGTGTGCGTTTAAAACGCTCTCGTGATAGCAGCAGCAGCATTCCTTGTTATGTGATTTCTGGTCTTGAAAATACATCTGTTCTTTATTCATCCACACAACTTTTTTGAAACGATGGTTCGATAGTAATTGGTAGGAACATCTTGGTTCTTCAACGATTCGATTTCTCTTAATTTGGAAGAAAAGTGATGAATATTGAACTGACAATGATCAGTTGGAAGGTATTTTTCAACATAGTAATTTCAACATGTTTGTTAGTTCATTTGTCTAGTTATTTTTACATTAATAGTGAGAAATGATTCACAGCTAAATCACTGGCTACATGAAAAATTAGAAATTGCTAATCGAGCCAATAGGAAGATGAGTGAATGTTCTAATAAACTGCCTTTGTATTAGTGAAGCGCGGGGAAGAGAAATTTTGCATTTTCGAGAACACGACATAGAATGGCATCTCATTGGTATGGAATGTCGTTTAGTTTTGCTGTTGGTTCTAATGAAAAACGACGATGTGTAAAATGGTGAAGTGAAATATCAGCTTGAGCTTAGATCATTCTTCAGTCGAACCCGTGTATTGAACTTCGAATAGTGCTTCTGTGCGTTTCCAACCATCGCTTATTAACTGAGTTTAATTGAACTTGTTAATCCAACCATCACTTGTATTGAACTTGTTAATTAATTGAGTTTAATTTTTTTACGAATTCTATTCATTCTTCAGTTGTTTCCTCATCCTTAAGCCAATCATCAAATTCGTTTTCAACAAAAAAACTATGCTGGAACTTTTGAAATTAAACGCATTCATGAAAGAAGTAAAGCAATTTTTTGATTCTTCTCTTCATATCATGGAAACGAATGTGTTGGTACTGGCGTTATACGCTGAAATCATTGGGCTTATGTTGTCAAAGCAATGGGACATTAAAATATTATCATGTCTACGCTAATCATAATACATTATCGTGCAACAAAACTTACATGTAATTCGAAAGTTTAATTAAAATTTGAATGAAGTATTGTGGTGTGCATCTGAACGGTCTTCAAGTATTGTTATTAAGTAGTGGTCTTTCTTCATGTGTATCCCATGATGCCTCCTTCGAGAAAAAAACCGTTTATTGAGAGGGGAAAAGGTGCGAGAAATAAAATGTTTTCAAAGAAGAGTTATAGGTGAGTGTGATAGATATTGCATGCAAGCATGCGCTCTTGACGGGTTCATTAGGCTTTCTATACACTTTTTCTTCTCATTTTTTTTGTATTATCATTCTTCATAATCATTTTTTGTTCTTTTAATTGTTATGTATTTTCTATTAGATTAATCTCTTTCATCAAATAATATGTGTTTGATTCAATAATATGTATGCTATCCGAAGTTTAATGTAAATGCATCTTCTTTCGTAAATGTATTTATGCGTGTGTATGAGCATTGTTAATTGAGTTTGATTCGGAGTGAAATTATTATGTTGATGTGTTACATTTCTTGTATCTATGATGTTTATTAATTTATTTTAAATATTCTCACATACCTATTTTCAGATATCATTGTTTTGTTCATAATATTTCCTGCAAATTTCTTGTTTGAATGCATTCATATAATATTAGCAATGAGATTAATATATGTATTGGTTAATAGCGTCATGAATTTCAATGCAAGGAACATTGAAGACTGTACTGCAAAGTCTCAAAACAGCAAAAATTGGAAGTATTCCTTTCTTCATGTATACTAAAACACTATGTTCGCAGTTTCCAAATCTTCACAAAGTCATAATTACCACAAAAAATTGACTAAAATCAATACAGCTGTAGATTATTAAGCGTTCTGGTATATTTATTTCCATTAGTTTTCAGTGTTGTATTTCATTCCATTTAAAAAACACTTCAAATATAAGTGAAGTTAAGCAAGAATCGGCAGATAGATTCCATATGTTATCCGTGACTTGAATGCTGCTTCATTTGGTCGAAGTGTGCTTCAAGAATGAATGTGACATATTGTATTGGTTCATACGATTTATGATATTCGAAATAAATGAGTGAGTCTCTGAATAGTAATCAAATTGAAGAATGTGACTCTAAAGTTGACGATTATTTTGCATTTCTTTTCCTTCAGATGCGGTTATTCTCTATGTGTACGTTAGTTGAGTTGTTCTCGCAATTGTTTTTTGTTTCTTATCCACGTATTATTTCTTTCACCGTCAATGGCAGCCTTCCATTAAAATATCAATATTTTAATAGCGATTTGATTCTCACTTCTTCGAATCTTCCATCTAACCAGTGTTTATTTTGTTGTTATGAATGAAAATTTCATTATATTCTCATAAGCATTAAACTTTCAACCAACATCATTTCATTTACAGTTGGCATATTTCATTCTCATAAGTGAAGGAGTATTTTGCTGATCCCTTTGCAGCAATTTTCATCGTGAAATTTCCAAAAAACAAACCAACTGTTGACTTTAAACTAGGCTGTTCGTCAATTCGGATTACCTTATTGCTTAACGTGTATGGATTTTGCTAGAGAAACAACATTCATCATGGGAAATGAAACGTATTTTTATGCTGGTGTTATATCAAGCGCGGACGGAAAGAGTATGCTCTCCAGAGAAACTAATGTTCTTTCAAATTGATCGCTTTAAGATTCGGATCAAGGTGATCTAGGATTTTTCAACTCGAATCTGCACTATATCATCCCTTGCATATCTTAGTGCACCATCCTTTTTATGATGAAGACTATTTCAAATATTTTGATCCATTCAAGTCGTTACTGAAAATATTGCCGTGAAAGGAATGAATAATGTACAAATGCAATCATCAAAATAACTAAGTAAAATTCTCATCGTTGCAGCTCAGTTCTTACACATTTACAACAGCGTAATTAGCACTGAGCTAGGTATTTTGGTGCACTTGCATCGTTTTATCGAGAAATGCTATCAAATTTGCCACAATTCTGCAGCACTGGCCGGTGGGACATGAGTGAAAGGGGAATGGGGATTGATTGAGTCATGCTCATTAAAATGAAGCATAAAATTTATGCGACTATCTTTGCGAAAAGCAATCAGACTCATCAAAACAGCAATCAAATGTGAGCGTATTGAATCTCTTTTTTTCTGGTTTGATTTTACGATGAAGAGGAGGGTGATGAAAGTGAGATTTTTTCCATATTCGATGCAGAAAATGTTCTGGTTGGACAGTTGTTTTCGCGAAAATGATGAGTGTCCGTTCAGTGAAGGATGAACGAGTCGATGGATACATTATGGGGATTGCGATTGAGGAAAGACGTTAAATGAAGCATCATCTAATCTCATTTGAACTAAATCCAACTGCACTGCAAAAGTCATGCTATATCAATATGGATAGAAATATTAATTACGATCAAATTTACCAAAAATTCAACGGGACTGGCCGGTGGGATGTGAGTGAAAGAGAAATGATCCATTCATTGAGTGTTGCCTTATGAGTCATCTCAAGAGTATATTTGGGCGTTGTGATCTCCTGTTCAAAATCTTATCACCGTGATGAAACCCCCTATAAGCATTTCAACAAGAATCATGTCGATGTGCTGATTATGCTAATCACAAGCATTCTTGTTGTTTCTTAAACTTGCACGGCCCAGTGAGTTACATCGTAAAAGAAATGAGGATAAGGATTGGTTGCTCAAAATAAACGAACTGTGTTTAATTACGTATAAAAGCGATTCATTACTAGATAGATGACATTTGAAAAAGATTTCTTCAGCGTTTCAAAAAGTCGTTTCGCTTTAAAAGACAACGAATTTGTTTGCGATGCATGTGAATGCAAGATTGAGCATGCTTCATCAAGTAACTTATCATCTAGTGAATCTTGACGTTGTTCCATCGATTATACTTATGATAGACTGAATTTGTGATTGCCTTATCATGTCGAGTATACGCAACTCAATGCAGCAGCCATTTGTTTGCATCTCATCATCAGTGTGCACCCAACAAATCAAACAATTCAGCTTTGGGCACAATTCAGCAACCTCTCATAATATGCAGTTGTCATGCGAAGCCGTGATTAAGTTATTTATTAGTGAGTTCATACGCAAGTGTCTTTTCATTGTTTTTGTATTGCAGTAACAACGAAACGAAAGAACTGAACATATGATATATATATATATATATATATATATATATATATATATATA